TCGAGAACCGGCACCTGAATGAATTGTGAAGAAATATCAAACGAAGCGGTTCGGTGGTGCGTTGCAAGGAAGTCCCAAGCGAGAACGCGATTCTGCAATAAACTGTCAGGAAATATCCGGCGGGAACCGCGATTCGGTAGTAAATTGCTAGACGTCCAAAGCGAGATCGCGATTCTTCAAAAAATGGTGAGGAAGTATCAGGCGGGAGCCGTTGTTGTTGTTGTTGTAAACCGGGGGCCAACGAAACAACTCGACCCTCAAACTTTCCCTGATAAGAAACGGGGTGCGAGCCCCGGGTGGGGCACTTCAATCGAAAAATACAATGTGCACCAGGCGGGGGAATCAACAATACTTATTCTTCAGAAGTGAAAATTCAACAACAACAACAACAACAACAACAACAACAACAACAACAACAAAACTACCACCAACAACGACAACAACAACAACCGACAACCACACCAACGCACACATTCGGGGATGGACAAACCTCCCTTTAGTAAAACGTGGTTTAATGAAAACGACCTGCGAAAGCCTGAAAAATAACGGCCACGACGCCCTCTCCAGAACCGAAAACGGACAATTCACTAATCGACGTGTCACTGTTGGGTTCTGTCCACCCCCGACACATATACCCACACCCATACCAACACCCATACCCACACCAACAACAACCACAACAGACACAACAACAACAAACAATTCAATATTGTTCGATCTGACCTGCCGCGTGCCATTCAATCCGTATATGCCAAACCCTCGGGACCCGCCCTCTTCGTCTTCGATCATGCTCTTCTAGGGGCATGTTTTCCTTACCTGCCGCGTGTAATTGGTGACAGCCCCTGAAACCGAGGAAGGGAGGACGGATGGAATGGGGGGGGGATGGAGCACGGGAGTAACAGGAGGGGGGCCTGGAACAAAACATACGTGGCAGAACCAGACGGGCCCATGAGGGGGGGGCAGAGCCGAACGTCCAGGTCGGAAGGCGGGCCCAAGCGGCCGAGTCGACCAGGCATGTTGCTGAAGCGTGAATGATTCGCGAAGAAAGCTCGAGCGATAACGCGATTCCGCAATAAACCCAGGAAGTCCACAGGGAGAGCATGCTTCCTAAAGGTCGAGGGCACAGCGTCTGAATAAATTGCAAAAGCGTCCCACGCCAGAGCGCGACACTTGAGAAATTGTGGGAAGTCCCGCGCGAGACCGCGATGTTGGAATCAGCTGTGAGGAAATATCGGGCGGGAGCCGTTGTTCCGTTGTTGGTTTAACTCGGCGGCCAGGGGCCCGGTTTGGTGACCCTTCGCATTCCCTTGCGAGCCCCGGGGGAAGCACTTCAATTGCAGAATGTGCCCCAGAACCACCAATATTTATTCTTCTGAAGCGAAAATTCAACGCAAACAACGACAATGATGTTAAGACTGTTCGTTCGTGCCTGCTCGCGTGCCATTCACCACGTATATCACAAACCCTCGATACCCGTCCTCCTCGTTTTCAATCGTACCCCCTTGAACGTGTCTTTCGTGCAGCCCGCGAGGCAAGGGAAGAGAGGGAAAGGATGGAACGAATGGACAAGGGGAAGGAGGATAATGGAACACGAGAAAGGTTAGCAGAATGGGGGGCTAGGAACAAAACACACTTGGCAGAACAAGACGGACAGATCAGGCACGTTGACCGTAACGGGCGGGTCGGGAAGGCGGGCCCATGCTCCCAGGGCAAACAGGCGGGTTACTGCAACGTGCGTCCTGCATGCATCGCGAGGAAGTCTCGAGCGATAGTGCGAGTCCCAAATCAATGTGGAGGACATTCACAGCGAGAGCGTGATTCCTGAATGTCGAAGGCGCGGCGTCTGAATAAATTGCAAAGGGGTCCCACGCGAGAGCGCTATTCCTGCACAGCTTGTGAGGAAGTCCCGCGCGAGAGCGCGGTTTGGGAGTACATTGAGAAAGTATCAGGAAGGAGCAGTTGTTGTTGTTGATGTTGTTGTAAGCTGGGGCCAACACCACAGTTCTGAGACTCAAAGCTGTGTTGACAAAAACAAGCTGGGAGCCCCGGGAGGGCGCTACAAGTGCCCGGGGGGATCAACAATAATGTTATGACAAATACAAGCTCTACAGCAACAACAACAGCAGCAACACCAGCAACAACAACATCAGCACCAGTAACAACAAAAACAACAACAGCAGCAGCACCACCAACAACAATAATAACAACAACAAGCATTATGAGACAGTTCGCTCTTACTTGCCCGTGTGCCATTCAAAACGAGTTCCCCACACCCTCGATACCCGCCCTTTTTATCTTCGACCACACCCTCTTTGGAGGGGATTCGTTCTCTTTGCGGGGGGCGGCGGGCTTAGACAAGCGGGCAAACCTGAACGGGCGGACAATCCTTCGTGGGCGCACATGTGCCCGCCATTGGAATTGGTGTGGGCCCTGGAAAAAGAGGAGGGGGAGAACGAGGGAGAGTGGGAGGAAGCGGGGGGGAGGGACGAAGGAAGAAGGAAAACGCCAGGAGAGAAGGAGCGAAGAGGGGGGCGGTTGATTAGAGACAGAGAGAGAGAGAAAGAGAAAGAGAGAGAGAGAGATAGCGAAACAAACAGATAAGAGAGGTAGAGAAAGAGAGAGAGAGAGAGAGAGAGAAAAAAAAAAAAGAGAGAGAGAGAGAGAGGGGAGGGAGAAGGGAGGAGGGAGAGGAGGGAGAGGGGATAGGGCTGACAGGCATAAAGATGAGGGAAGAGAGGGGGGAGAGAGAAGAGAGGAGAGGAGGGAGGAGGGAGGAGGGAGGAGGAGGAGGAGCAGGAAGATAAGAGCGTGAACGTTCGAGGAAGTCCTAGGCGAAAGCGCCGTTCCTGAAAGAAGTCTCGGGCGGGAGCCCACGACGGGCGGGCGATCCCCTGACCGGCGGGTCGGGCGGGTGGGACATTCAAGCGGGATGCCTGAGTATGGCGAGAGCGCGATTACTAAGTAAATTGCGACGGCATCCTTGGCGCAGAGTGTTTCCTGAGCGTCGAAAGCGCGATTTCTGAATCAATTGCATGGAAGTCACAGGCGAGAGCGCAATTCCTGAATAACATGTGAAGGGTTCTCTGGCGGGAGCGGGGGCCTTGATGACTAAATTGCGAAGAAGTCTCACGCGGGAGCGCAGTTCCTGAGTAAACTGTGAGGAAGTCTCCGATGGGAGCAGGGGTCCTGACTAAATTGCGAAGAAGTCACAAGCGGGAGCACCGATCCTGAGTAAATTGTGAGGAAGTCTCAGGAGCGGGGGTCCTGAGTAAATTTGGAGGAAGTCTCAGGCGGGAGCCGTTGTTGATATAATCCAAGGGGCCAAGGGCACAGTTTGAGCACGAAGACTTTCCCTGTCAAAAAACAGCGGGTGAGCGTCGAGGGGCACGCTTTGATTGAGAAAAACCAGTATGCACCAGTGACGGGGGATCAACAATAATTATTCTTCAGAAATGAGAATTCAACAACAACACCATCAACACAAACAAAAGCAGCAACAACACCGACAACAACATTAGCAACAACAACAACAACAACAACAACAACAAGAAGAACAACCACGGCAGCAACATCAACAACCACGACAACTACAACAAAGCAACACAAACTGCTGGTGTACCCGGACCGGGTCCTCCAGTGCGCCCTTTCGCTCCACGTGGGGAAAAGTCTCACTGGTATACCTGGACCCCCCCCACGCGCAACGCAACGCAACGCAACACGGCTGCCTGTGCAGCCTTCGTTGCGTTGCGTTGCGTTGCGGAGGCGGGGGTGCTGGATACTCCTCTGTCTGGAATCCTTCGGAATCCCTAGGGAATCCATCCAGGGTCGTCGTCGTCGTCATCGTCGGCGGCGGCGGCAGACAGACAGACAAGGAGACAGAGAGGGCGATGAAGACGACGACGACATGGACGCACAGGAGAACCACAACGGCTGCGTCCTGCTCCTCCTCCAACTGCTGCTACCCCTCCCTTTTCTGCTACACTCCTCCTCCCCTGCGTCCGTTGCGTTGCGTTGCGTTGAACAAAAAATGACATAACCACACGAGCAGATCGAGCGGTTAGGCCGTAACGGGCGGGTCGGGGAGGCGGGCCAAGGTGCCCAGGTCGAGCAAGCGGGTTGCGTGTGTCCTGCATGGATCGCAAGGAAGTCTCGAGCGATAGCACAATCTGCAACGGGGCCACAAAGGGCAGCGAGAGGGCCACGAAGGGGTGCAACGGGGCCGCGAAGGGTAGCGAGGGAGCCACGAAGGGCTGCAACGGGGCCGCGAAGGGCAGCGAGGGGGCCACGAAAGGCAGCGAGGGGGCCACGAAGGGCAGCGAGGGGGCCACGAAGGGCTGCAACAGGCCACGAAGGGTAGCGAGATCCCGATTCCCAATTAAGCTGTGAGAGAGTCCGAGGCGTGAGCGCGACTCCTGGGTGCCTGAGTGTTGGGAGCGCAGCGCTTGAGTTAATCGCGGGGAACTCCAACGCAAGAGCGCGATTCTTGAATACATTGCAAGCAAGTATCCGCCGAGAGCGCGACTCCAAAGCGCCGAGAGAGCGATTCCTATATAACTTGTAAGGAAGTCCCACGCGAGAGCGCGATTCCTGAGCAAAATGCGAGAAGTCTCAGGCGGGAGCGGGGGTCCTGGCTAAACTGTGAGGAAGTCTCAAGGGGGAGCCGTTGTTGTTGAAATCCGGGAGCCAGAGGCACAGTTTGACACTTGTGACTTTCCCTGCTAAAAAAAGTGCGTGCCCCGGGGGAAGCACTCCAATTGAAAAACGCAATGGTCACCGGAGGGGAAGGATCAGCAGCAATATACTTCAATAGTGCAAGTTCAACAACAACACCAGCAACAACAATCCGCACCGCCGAACCTCACTTCTGCCACGCGCACAGGGACAATGAATGACCGCTCGGCCCCTTCACTCTGACATATGATCAACGTAGTCAACGTCGACGTCGTCGTCGTCGTCGTTGTCGTCGTCGTCAACGTCGTCTTCGCACTCCGAGGCGCAGCGGGGGGCGGCCTGGCGCCCACGAGCGGGGGCGGCTGCAGCACGGGCGCCGTGGGGGGCCGTACGAACGTCGTCTGCTGCAGCAGGTGGGGGCCTCTCGTGGGGAGGAACGGCAGAGGGGGGCCAGCTCGGGGGGGGGGGGAGGGCATCGAACTGGAACTGGCGATACACAGCCGACAGATCGGCGATGCAGTGCGGGCGCCGCCGCGAGGCAACCTCGCAAGAAACCCAACCCTGAAAACCCGCGCGCGAGGTGCACCTGAGGGGAAACGGAGCATCCTGAACGCAGCAGCTTCTTCAACGGCTGCGGGCAGTCACCGCGCAGCGCGCGGAGCGAAGAAACCCAGGGTACCTTGACGAAAACAAATGTTTGGTTCCTTGATGCGCCGCCCCACTAGTAGGCCGCCGATAGCGAAACCGCGCGTTCCTGGGAAAGGTGGCCTAACGAGGCGGAGAAGGAGGAAAACCCTCCTCCCGTTTCCGTCCCCTCCCGTGACCCTCACCTTGCCGGTCCTCGCTCCCCTCCTCTCCCCGTGCACTCTCGCTCCACCTCTACTTCCTCTTCCCTCCAGTTCGCTCCCATCCCCCTCACCTCTCGGCTCGATCCCGGTCCCCGTCATCCTGCTGCTGATCCTCCCCTCCTCCTGCCCCTGCTCCTCCCACCCATCCTCCATCTCGTCCTCCCCCTTCTCCTTTCCGTGCCCTTCCCCCTCCCCCTCCTCCTCCTCCTCCTCCTCCTCCTCCTCCTCCTCCTCCTCCTCCTGTTCCCCCTCCTCCTCCTCCTCACCCAAACCCTCCTGCCCCGCGTAGGCCTCGTCCTCCCCCTCCGCAACCTCCTCTGGCTCCTCCTCCTTGCTCTCAGGCATGCCGTGGGGGCGGAGAGGGCTCCTCCTCCCCCTCCTCCTCGACGGGGCTGCCTGGCCGGGAGCTGTGGACCGTCAGCCTCCTGCCCCTGTACTCGCATCCCTGCGCGGGGGCGGCATGGCCAGAGGAGATTAGTGGCGGGGAGCAGATAGACGAATGGTAAGGCAGTGCGGACCTGGACTCTGCCCCTGAAAATAAGCTTTCTGAGCTGCAGGAGGTGCTTCAGAATCTGAAGGACGTCGGCACCCAAACGACCTATCGGGAAGGGTGTCAGATTGTAACCCCATATTTGATTGGACCTGCAGGGACAGGCTTCGCAAGTGGTCGCCCGATCATGTGGGGAGCGACATAAAGAGAGAAAGAGAGAGAGAGCGAGAGGGAGAGGGAGAGAAAGCAGGAAAGAGAGGGAGAGAGAGAGAGAGAGAGAGACAAACCTTGCGTGCTCTAAGCCTTGTTCACGCTCGCAAGCAAGACGTGCCTTCCCATTTACAGGTCCTAGATTTCTGCGCGGGCGCATTCACTGAAACCATGCCAACCGTCGCACACCCGCCAACCATCGTGCACCTGCGTACCATGCGTTTTAGCCGCAGTCCTTACAAAGTCATCTGTTGTCTGAACATTTCAACGCAGAGGTATTCAAATACCTGTGAACACCCAGTGGCTGCTCAATACACATTATGTCATGAATTCAAAGCTTCTGCGCGCGCTACTCCTCCTCCCCGTCACCAATACCTTCAACACATCGTCGTCGTCATCGCCAACGTCATCATTGTCACCGCCATCACAATCATATCCACCAATGCCGTCATTATCCCGACGTCTTCGTCATCATAATCCTCCTCCTCCTTCTCATTATCATCATCATCATCATCATCATCATCATCATCATCATCATCAGCAGCAGCACCATCATCGTCATCAGCATCATCATCAAAACCATCAACACCATCATCATCCGCACAATCGCCATAGCAACCGACATCGCCATCATCATCACCATCCTCCTCCTCATCATCATCAACAACGCCACCACCACCACCATCATCCTCATCGTCATAATCATCATCATGATTAGCATCATCAGCATCATCATCACCATCATCATCATCGTCAACATCGTCATCATCATCATGATCATTATCAGCATCGGCATCAGCATCATCCTCGTCATCAGCATTATCAGCATCATCGCCATCGTCATTACCAGCGTCACCTTCATAATCAGCATCAGCATCATAACCATCCCCATCCTCAACAACATCATTATCATCACCGTCATCAACATCATCATCAACATCATCACCAACATATTCATCATCATAAGCACCATCCGCACCATCATCATCATCATCAGCATCACCACCATCTTCATCATTACCATCAGTATAATCATAATCACCATCACCATCAGCATCAGCATCAGCATCATCATCATCATCATCATCATCATCATCATCATCATCATCATTCGTATCAGCATCATCGTCATCATCATCATCGGCGTCGTCAACGCCATCGCCGCTGTCGTCTCTATCAGCACGATCACTACCATCATCGCTTACGTCATGATTGCCATCGCCATCAGAATCGCCTCTGTCAGCGTCACCATTGTCGGCGGCATCATCCCCACCTTCGTCATCAACATCGTAGTTGTCGTCGCCCTCGTCTTCAGCGCAACCATCACAATTATTATCATCAGCACTCGTTCGCCAGAGTCATCGATCTGCATCGAAAGGGCCCTCGCGTCATTACGCCAGTTGAGTGCAACTAGTTGCGGGTGGTTGGGCGGGATGTTTGCGCGATCCTCAGGGGTGGTCGCATGCGGATGCCAGCATGGTGAATCTCTCCCCACACACAAAATAGATTCAGGCGAAGGACCCAACCATATGCAGTTGTGGATGCCGCCGATGTAAGGACTGCCTTCGGTGGAGCCCCCTATGGACACGAAGCGCGCGAATGGTGCGCCGCAATTGGGCAGGGCCGCCATGCGGGCGCCGCTGGGAGCTCCCTATGGGGCCACGAAGCTTATGCGGGGTGTGCCAAAATGGACGGTGGACGGCATGCGAACCATGCCACTGGGGCCTTTGGTGGAGCTGTGTGCCAAAATGGAGGGGGGGCGACATGCGAACCATGCCACGGGCCTTCAGTGAAGCTCCTGTGGGGCCGCGAAACGTGTGAGTGGTGTGTCAAAGTGATTTGGGGGACGGGAGGAGGGAGGAAAGGGAGGAGGAGGAGGAGGAGGAGGAGGAGGAGGAGGAGGAGGAGGAGACGCGGGGACTGTCCCTTCAAAACGAAGACCAAACACCACAAGATGGTTGGGAACTAAACTCTACCCTCACCACGTGGCCAGGAGGCGCGAACCGCGCTCGCTTTGGCACCCGATGACCTCGGCCACCCAACCCCAGCCTGCGCCCCACTCTCCTCTGGTTCTCGGCTCTATGAGGCGGGCCCCCAAGGAGGAGGGGACCAAATGGGGTGTTTCCAAATTGGGTAGGGCCCTATGGTGTACACTTCTCCGCCAATGCTCGACCTGCGTGCTCGGGGGTGGGACCTGGCACGGGCAACGGGCGAGGCTGGTCGTGCGACCTGTCCAGGGTCGAAGCCGAGAACAGACGCTTCGCTTCGGGAAGGTCCCGAATGCGATTGCCCCGAACTGGCTTCTGGCACCGCGTGACAAAACTGCACCTTGCAATAGATTCGCGCTGGGGGGTCTCCCAGAGGCTGCCGGACCCGTCTTCCCTGCTGATTTCGCGCCAGGCATTGTTTTCCGTCCATCGCTCGAAAGTACATTCCCTGTGTTAGTTTCGGTTTCGCGCGTGGTTTTTGCCACATGATCAAGGATGCTCCTCGATGGTCCTCGACAAAGGAAACATGCACACGTCCGAGCGACGCCGAGCGCCAGGGATGGGTTTCCGTTGGCCCCAGGTGCTCAGCCTGGGGCGCTCGCGCCTGCTCCGCCGCCACGTCGGGGCGGCACGAGCCTGCCACAGGCGAAAACTTGCGCCCTCCCAGTGGTTTTGGAGAGGACAGCGGCGCGGGCTACCTGGAGCTGCTGTATCGCCAAGGCCGCGTGCGAGGCCTCGCGAAGGTGCACAACGCAGTCTCATCATGGTCCAGGTCATGGTCATGGTCGTCGTCGTCGCCCTCCGCCTCACATCTCTCCCACTCCGACTGTACAAGAAAAGATGTGACACAACAATACATGACAAGGCTGATGCGTGGGAAGACGCATCCGCCGTGACACATCAGCGAGCGGGCCGTGATGCCTGCAGCCAAGGCGCTCGGCCGGAGAGCTTCTCCCCCCTCCGCTCCTCTGCCTACGACACCCCTGCCCCTATGTTGCTCCAATCGTACTTAGCGACCACATCCCAGAAATAATTTCGAGCACCCAGAAACGTATCGAAACAGTGTTTACCCGACATGCTAGCGAAGTGTCGAAAGAGTATCGCCTCCCAGGGCCTGACACGTGAAAACCCTCCAGTTTGGGTACTTCCTTGGCGCCCGAAATTTGTTTTCGTGAGCAAGGCCAAAGTAGGTTGGAACATCATAAACCTGTCCTCCCTTCTGGCCCCGCCCCTTCTCCTCCCGCCCCCAATCATCCCACCTCCCCTGTGCCACTCGCTCCTCCTCTGCAAGCGAACTCGGGCAGCTGCTGGCGAAGGAGAGAGCTGCTGCTGCATGGGGCGAGGCGGAGGCGGGAACGCGCGTGAACACAACACGGCATACACATGAGGTTTCGGGGGTCCTCGCGGATTTCATGCATCGGAACGGGGCCCCTCCAGGGCGCGCGGAGAGCGCCACGGGCGGCGCCGGAGACCTCGCCAGGAGGGCCCAACGCAGATCCAATACATCCGCGCACATCTCCACAAGTTATTATTTGACGGAGGGAAGGAGGACCCGACGAAGACGAGGAGGGCTCCGCAATCTCGACCTGGCGCGCTGGGAATACCACACGCCCCGCGAAAGAGGGCACGGGACTGGACGGCACCGGCAGGCCGGCGGTCCCCTGCGAGGCACGGCGTGATGTCCGAGGGTGTACTCCCGCAAACAAAACTTTTCTGGGCGCGGGTCCTCGGAAAATCGAAAACCTTTACGAGTCGCGACAACGCCCGTTACCATGGACGCCCCCGTCCCCCGCGGGTAACGTCACGATTCGCTCCCGCGCCGCCTGGGAGGAAAGGCCAGGTGCCATGTCCTTCTACCGGCGGGTTTTGAAAGAAAAACACATAATAAAAAACAGCAATCATCAAACGAACACGAAACATCGTCACCAGACTGACTCATCATATTCTTGAATACTCCTCATGTAGTGGAGCATGCCCGACTTAAAGCTAAGTCCCAAATAGCGCCAGAGTGAACCGTGACGTTACTGGCACCCTCTCTCCCCCTCCCCCCTGCTAACGGCCGTTATCGCGAGAAGATTACATAGTGGGTCTTGGGCGCCCGAGCACAAAAACAAGTGAAGCGTGGTAAGACACATTCGTGTCGTGACGACTTGGGCACTGGCTTTTGACACCGCGAAGAAGATCGGCCAACCTTGATCGATCGCGGCTTTCCGGCAGCGCGGATCGTTCGATGCCAGAAGATGCCGGTCCACTGGCGGCGCCCAAACTTGAACGCCCGCTGCAGGGTCGCCGCCGCGTCGACAGACACGGCACGAACCTATAATACGCTCTCTGATCGAAATGTGCTCCGCTCTGACGGCCCGACGCTCGGTTATATAAACTTGGCCGATCGCCCGAACGAGAACAAGTTCTCGCGACATGCCATTCCACACATTCTCGGGGAAATCCCGAGGGCTTCCGGCAACGCGGTCAATCACGACGTTATCCAGGTATCTGTGCCAAACACGCTTCGTCATCCTGCCTGTCATGTCGACTGATCCTGTTCACGGCCCGTCGCCCTTTGCACGTGCAAGCAACGGTGCTGCATCTGGTGGGGGGCCTCCTTCCTTTCGGCCCTTGACAGTGGTCAGCGCTGCCCGAGCACGACAGGATAACCCTGCTTGCTTTCACACTCAGTGGGACCAAGCGAAGAATCGAAGCGCTGCTCTTTCAAGCGCCTGCCGATCATGGCCCTGCTGACCAACAAACTTCTCCCACGTGATCATGAGGCGAGCAGGGGGCGACTGTCCCAGTGTGAGAGACGTCAGCCACGTCGGCCAGCAATCCACGATAGGTCACCAAAATGTTGGCGAAATGACCGCGACAGCAAAACCATACGTTTCTGGCCAGGGTGTGCCATCCAAAGCGTGATCGGCGATGAAGTGGCATTGGGGAGGGGTCGATGTCCCCCCCCCCCCGTTGGAGCCCTGAGCCGACCCCTGCCTGCGGCCCGACCCCTGATCGTCTGAGGCGCCGGCGACCTACCAGCGGCAAGTATGCTGTACGATTGCCCCGTCCCTGTGAGTACGTCGGCGCCCTGGGGGATGTGTGTTTGTTCCCGGCGAGGTATCGTATAATTATGTCGTTCTCTCCACTCTTCCTTCGATCGTGGGATGTGCTGCGCGAGCCGCCTCGTAAAAGTCACAGAAGCCGTGCCCCAAGGGCAAGTTCGAAGACGGGTTGCGGTAGATCTTGACCGTCTCCTCCGCCCCACGCGCGCGCACCGGGCCAGGTGCTTCGCCTTGCACAGCATCCTCTCGCGGTCGATCGAAATCCCACCAGCACTCTGGGCGCAGGTGGTCTAGGGAGGCTCCTCTTCCAACCCCCCTCCTCCCCTTCGGGGAGGGGTTTACCACTGTTCTTTGTTAATGTACACCCCCTCCCCCAGGCGACAGGGGGCCAACCCGACACCATGCCGACCCGCCCCCACCATCCCTGTCCAAAAACAATACAAACCGCACTCTGCCTCCACGTTTGGAGCATGCGCGGCCAACCCGATGCGGCCCCCCCCCCATCCCTGTCAAAGAAAAATGAAAAATACACTTTGAGGCAAATTCTGGAGTCATCTTCGTGAGGCCCGCGAGCACTTTGCATTGCTTTTGACAAGGACGGCGGGGGTGTCAGCATATTCCCTGCTGTGCGCAAGGCTACCATCCCTGGACAGAAAAGACAATACAAGATGCACCTCGCGGCTAAATCTGGATCATGCGCGGCCATCCCGCGATCACTGACAGGGACGGCGGGGGTGGTGGCGCGTGGCCTGCTGTGCGCAAGCCCACCAGACACAATGATGGGCATCGGTTTTCGACAAGGATTGCGGGGGCCGACATGTTTCCCGATGTGTGCTGTCACGTGCGCAGGCGCACCTGACGCAGTCTGCACGTGCCCCGGACGCGGCGCACCTGGCGCGGCAGGAGTGTGCGGCACACCTGGCGCACTCGGAGCACGTGGCGCATCTGGCGCAACAGGCGTGCCTGTCACGCTCGGGCCCCAGGGGTGCCCGGCGCGCATGGCGCCCCTGGCACGCGTGGCGCACTTCGCCCAAGCGTCGCGTACCTGGGGTCGGCGTTGGTTCCCAGTAGCTGCCCATCCAAAGACGACCGCTGAACATGCTCAGGCTCGGGAGTTACCTATGTGTAGAGAGGGCGGGAGGGAGTGAGCTAGGCGGCCTGCGGGCGGGTGTGTAGCTTGACCCCTCCCCCTCCCCCCTCTCCTGGATCTGGACGGGCGGTGCCGCGACCCATTGGAACGTCCAAAACGGCCCCGGCGAGGAAACCAAAATCATTAGTTTTACTTTGGTTGTGGCCCCATGTTGGCCTCTCGGGGGGGCATCTTCTTTGATCGATGTCCTCCAAGATGGCCCTAAGAAGCGCCCAGGAGGCGAGGCCCCAAGAGGCCCCAAGATGGCCCCAAGATGGCCCCAAGAGGCCCCAAAGAGGCCCCCAGGAGGCCCCAAGAAGACCCCAAGCGGCCCCCCCCGAGGTACCCAAGACGTCCTAGAGCCCCCCATGACCGCCAACAGACCACCAAGACGTCCCAAAAGGCCACCAAGAAGCGCCCAACAGATATCCCAAAAGGCTCCGAGAGGCATCCAAGAGACCTCTGGCCCTTTTGCTTGCCCTCCTCCTCCTGCTCCTCCTTCCTCCTCAGAACTACTCTTTCTCTGCCTCCTCATCCTCCTCCTCCTCCTCCTCCTCCTCCTCCTCCTCCTCCTCCTCCTCCTCCTCCTCCTCCTCCTCCTCCTCCTCCTCCTCCTCCTCTTGTCATTCATCCTCCTTCTCCCCCCTCCCTCATCCATCCATCCAACCTCCTCCTTCTCCTCCTCCCTCCTTCGCACGGTTCGGCCGTCCTCGTCTTTGCTCCCGCACTTCCCTGATCACCGCAAGTCGCCTGGACATCGTTTCTGCATGGGCTGGTGGGGATATGTTTTGATTGCGAATGACGCGGAAGCAACCGCGCACCGTCGAAGGGTCGAACAGGACAGGGCCGAGGCGTACACTGCAACTGCCGCCAGCGAAGCGCAGGAAAAGAAGGCCACGATGGTGGCGAGCTGGTGGGGAGACTTCTTGGTCAGCGGCCTCGCGAAGCGGGTCAAAAAGGCATCCAAACTCTAGCCGGTCCACGACTAGGCAGCGGAAGCGGACAGCGGAAACGCAAAACAGAGAGGGGCAAGCGAAGCAAGCGCGCGGGCAGCCACTCAGAAGTGCACCAAGAACGGCACTGCCAACCCGGTGGCGTGGAAATCCCAGTGGCGACCATCAAGTAGGCGCAGCCAATATGGCGCGGCGGCGGCGGGTGGGGATTTTTTTGTTGTCGCAGCCGCAAGCGAAGGCGCAGGCGGCGTCAAGGGTCGAGCGGGCTACGCGCGAACCTAATTGCCAAACGCCGATGAACCAGCGGCTTAAGCAGCACCTAAGCTGACCGGGCAGCGCGAGGGGATGCGGGCTGCAGCTGCCAGGAACCAGGCCCAGGGGCGAGCGCATGCAGAATTAGCCAATCGAGGTTGGAGCGCAGCCAAAATGGCGCGGGGACGATACCAGGATGTGGCCAGGAGCATCATCACTGGGAGCGCTGACGCCAGCTGGGCCAGGAACTCACTGGCCATGGAACTCGTGCATGGAAGTGGCGCCACCAAAGTCGCACACAACGAGACTCCTGAAAGGTGTACTAATCCGGACACTTGTCGTCAAACCGTGTACAGAGTGATCGCGAACGGCAAAGCGGAGTAGCCAGGGAAAAGATGGATGCGATCAACAGCGTAACTGATTCTGAGCCAACGGATCAAAGGAAACCACGCGCACTCCCGATCAAGGTCGACGACGCCTGAGGAGAACTGACCAGGAACTGGGCAGGTGCACACCTCAAGCACGAAGTCGAGAGTGCCGTGGGCACCGCCGCCAGGAAGCCGTGGACGTAGTCAACACAGTCGGCCGACGGCCAGGGACCACGTGCACTCGGGGGCGCCATGCGCCAACGAGGAAGTTGAGCATGTGGAGCACGGGGAGGACCAGGAAGCCAGGGCCAACAGGGCCACTGCGGGCCCGGCCGCCTGAAGAGGGGGCGGCCTGGACTGAGCGTGGCAGCGCCGTCTTTTGCGCGGGGGGCGGATCAGCTCTGTGCGGGGCAACTGCCGAAAGGCGCGGGGAGAGGAGGGCGCCGAGGGCGGTGAGAACAACTACAGCGAGGCCAGGGGCCAACTAGAACAGGTGGACCACGGACCCAGCGGCAGTCCACGTGTCGGCATTGTCAGCAGGCAGTTGCCAGGGCCCCAAGGGCGGGGGGCAGCGGGTGCCGAAGGAGAGTGGAGGAGACCAGGAAAGCGGCTGAAGGCCGCACGTCCTGAGGTGACGCAGGAGGAGAAGAGGGAGGCAGAAAACGCTACCAGGAAGTGGCTGAAGGCCACGGGTTTACCGAGAACAGATGGATCACCGCCACGTGCGAGAGCGCATGTCGCCTCTCCCGTCGCCGTTGTGGCCGCCGCCCTGCTTGCCTCCTGTCTGCCGCGGGGGCCCGTCCTCCGAGCAGGGGAGGCATGACGCCCACCTTCTCAGAGGCCCACTGTCGCTCGGCATACCAGGAAACCAGGAAGCAGCTGAAGGCTGCACTTTCTGTAAAGAAGCCACGGCGACCTTAGCGAACGGGCGCGGCGGGCTGCGACCAGGGTGAAACAAGGGCGGGCGCGCCCGCAGTGCTAGAGCTGACGACCTTCCACCGCTTCTTGCCCTTCCTGGGAGCGCGGCCGCCAGCGTGGCCCTTCGCCACCTGGCGGCCCTTCGCCACCTGGCGTCCCTTGCCCGCGCCGCCACTGCGACTCAGGTATCGCTGCCGCAGCTGAACCCAGTCAGCGCCGAGGTCCAGCGGGCCGTTCATGGCCCGCACATCGCAGTTGTAGCTGCGGAATGAGCACAGGAAATGGAAGCAAAATTGCTGGTCGTGCCGTAGCGGGTCGAGCGCGCCTTTCGCGTGCTGCTCGGCGAACGCGTGCCGGGAGCATGTGAACATCGCACCCAGGGTGATTTGCAGCCGCTTTATCGTCTTGACAGGGATCTCCCTGGGGGCCCCACTGGATGCCGCCGACCTTGATGTTATACAACTGCTGTCCCGCGTCGGGGTCGAAGGGTTCCGGCCATCGGCGCGCGGCGGGCCTCGCTTCCCAAGGCGGGGTGGTCAGCGGCTGGTCCTTGGCGCGGCGGCTGCTGCTGGTGCTGCTTCTATTTCTGCTGCGGCTGCTGCTGCTGCTGCTGCGTCCGTCGCCTGTCGTCTGCCGCCCGCCAGACCCGCCAGCGCGGTCGGCGTCGCCAGGTGCCAGGTTTCGACCCGGGGGCGGCGGGGAGATTGGAAAGTCGCCAGTCGCAGAGGCACCCGCTGCCACCCGCTGCCAGGCTGGGCGGGCGTCCACCCGCTGCCAAGCAGACGCGGTGGAGGGAAGTTTTGGCCGTGCTTCCGTCGTTGTCCACCAGATAGTGCCGTGGATGGTGAGGAGTGGAGCAAGAGCTGACAACCATAGGCCAGCTACGCTACCATATTTGAAAGGGGTTGGGAGGCCCAACCAGCAGCTTCGCCTTAGGCGAAGCCAAGCTCCCGCTCTGTTGTACCGCAATAGCGATAGTCCCAGTAGTAGGGGGCGAGCCATCTCAAGCAATTTTGGTATCGATGGCAAATACAACACCTCGCGCTGAGGTGTAGTCAAATCTGGGCGGCCGGCTGCTTTGAGCCAAGCAGCCGCGGATGCACGCTCGTTCCCACTCACATGCAACGCCCAGCTCACTTTAGAGCAAGATGGCCTCCAAGATGCACCCAAGACGGCCAAGATGGCCTCCAAGAGGGCTAAGATGGCCCCAAGATGCCTCCAAGACGGCCCAACATGTACCCAGTATGGCGTAAGATAACCTCAAGATGGCCCAAGACGGCCCAAGAGGCCTCAGTACGGTCCAAGAGGCTTCCAAGAGGTGTTCCAGGAGGGCCCGAAGAGGCCAACATCATTGATGATCCTACGGTTTTTGAAGGATCTTGGCATCTGCCTCTTCTCGGCATTCCGACGGATCAAGACGGCCCAAGAGGCCTCCAAGATCGCCCACGAGGCCTCCAAGAGGGCCCCTTGATGGCACAAGGGCCCCCAATACGGCCCAGAGAGGCCCAAGAGACCTCCAAGACGCCCAAGATGGCCTCAAAGACGGCCCCGAAGCGTCGCAAGAGGACCCCACATTTGTTCAGAGAGGCCCCAAAGACGGCTTCCGACGGCGTCAGACGGGCCAGGAGCCCACCAAGATGGCCGAAGTTGGCTCGAAGCTGGCCCAAGACAGCCCAAGAGGCCTCCAAGAGAGCCTCCAGGAAAGCCAAACAAAAGGCAAGAAACACTGATACTCCGTAGGTTTTTGAAGGATGTTGACATTTGAGAGAGCGTGATCCACCGCCGCTTTACTGTGGAAAATTGCCCCCCTTTTCCTCCGGAACCTGGGGTTCCCCCCCCCTCCCCCTCCGACCCCCCCCCCTGCTGGACCCCCCCCCCCTTCCCCCGGCAAAACCCCCCCCTCCCCTAACCCCTCCCCCCCCCCCCTCGAACTCGAAAACCGGGGGGGGTCACTACCGGTTCGAACCCCCCCCCCCCCTCGAAAACCGGAGGGGGGGGTCACTACCGGTTCGAACCACTGAGCTGTCCCACTGTTCCCACCACTGTCCCCACTGTCCCCACCACTGTCCCCACTGTACCTCTGTCCCATTGTCCCACCGCCGTCCTCGCCACCGCCTTCACCACTGTCCCCACCACCACTGTACCCTCCACTGTCCTACTGTTTCCACCACATTCCCACTGTCCCCACACCACTGTCCCCACCACCACCGTCCCCACCACTGTCCCACTGTCCCCACTGTTCCCACCATTGTCCTCACCATTGTCCCCACCACTACCGTCCCCACCCACCACTGTCCCACTGTCCCCACCACTGTCCCGCAATCCCCTCACCACTGTCCCCACCACCACCGTCCCCACCACTGTCCGCATCCCCCCTCGGTTTTCGGGGGGGGGGGGTTCGAACCGGTCGTGACCCCCCCGGTTTTCGAGTTCGAGGGGGGGGGGGGTTCGAACCGGCAGTGACCCCCCCCTTTTCATGATGAACTGGGGGGGGGGGGTTCGAACCGGTAGTGACCCCCCCCGGTTTTCCGGAGGGGGGGGGTGGGGGAGGAGTTCGAACCGGTAGTGACTCGGTTTTCCGCCAGCAGCGGTAGAACACGCTCTTTCCATCTGCTTCTTTTCGGCCTTCCGACGGCCCGAGACGGCCCAAGAGCCCCCAAAGATCGCCCAAGAGGCCTCCAAGATGGCCCCAGAACGGCCCAAGAGGCCCCCAAGACGGCCCCAAGAGGCCCCCCAGACGGCACAGGAAGCTTTTAAGACGCCAAAGATGGCCTCAAAGACGGCCCTGGAGCAGTCCAAGAGGGCCCCAAGTCGGCTCAGAGAGGCCCCCCAAACAGCTTCCGACGGCGTCGGACGGGCCAGGGGCCCACCAAGACTGCCGAAGATGGCACTAAGATGGCCCAAGACGGCCCAAGAGGCCTCCAAGAGGGCCTCCAGGAAGGCCCGAAAAGGCCAAAACCATTGATTCCCCATTAGTTTTTGAAGGATTGTGGCATGTGCTTTTTGTTCGGCCTTCCGACGGCCCGAGACGGCCAGAGTGCCCCCAAAGATCGCCCAAGAGGCCCAAGACGGCTCCAAGAGGCCCCCAAGACGGCCCAAGACGCCTCCAAGACGCTCAAGATGGCCTCCAAGACGGCCCAAGAACCCTCCAAGACGTTCTCCAAGAAGGCCCGAAAGGGTCAAAATGGCCTCCAGGCGGCCAAGTTGACCTTCAAGATGCCCACGTGTTCCCCGAAGGCTTTCCAAACCGATTCGGGGAACCCATGGTCCGATAGCTTGGCAGGTCTGGCCTTAAATTTCGGTCACATAGGCGCTTCCAAAAAGGCAGGGGGCGGCGGTGATTCGCCGTAGGCGTCTTCGATAAGAGTAAAGCAATGCCTCCCCCCCCCCGAAAGAAAGGAGCATGGAAAAACTGACTTCCTGAAACACTTCCGCCCGGAGGGCTGATGGGATTTCCTGGATGCCGGGGCCGAACGCTGTCTTAACAATTTGAGTAATCGTCGGCATGAGAGCGACAATCAAAAAGGAACCTTACGCGAGATGACACAGCGACCTTACGCGGCGGCTTGCGCGGGCCGCGAGCGCGGCACGCTGCATTGGAAACGAGGGCGCTTACGCGCGACCTTACGCGGGCAGCTTGAGCCCCTATGTCGGCGCAGACGACCCCCTTTTAGTGCGTCGCTAATGTGGCACCCGCCCAATGGCGCATAGAACTGCCCTTTTTGGACAGCCGCCTCCGCAAAACGCGCGGGGGCTCCTCGCTGTCCCTCTCTTCCCTCTTCCCGGTGAAGTGCAGCCGGACCTAGGCAAAAGAACATCCCTCAAGAACATGAGACCCTCTGCCAGCCAAAACACACAGACAATCCAAGGGTACCCTCTCCAGGGTGCACAAGAACATCCAACAAGCACGAAGAGCATGAGGGTACCCTCCCCGAGCCGACCTCGATCTTATACCTCGGTCCGACTGTGATCCATACGAGCGGAGGGATGGGAGCATGAGAGGGGAGAGGACGAGGATGAGGGGCGGCACATGATCGGGAGCGGGGCCACCAGGAGCAGGAGGAGCAGGACCAGGAGGCAGGGGAGGGAAGAGGCCGCCAGAGACCCCCCGGGGCAGCCGCCCCCGCCACCCCGACCCCTCCACGGCGCCGACGTTGCTGAAGATCTCGATCAGCTCGTCCTCCTCGGCGTCTGGCGGCAGCCCAGCCATGAACACGGTGCCCTGCTTCTGGCCCGCCGGCTGGGGCGTTTTGCCCGCGGCCGCCTGCGTCATCGCGGCTGCCAGCAGACTCCCCACGACGTTGGGCGGCGCGGCCCCCGCCCTCGCCGACGCGGTCAACGGCCGCGCCTTGGGTGCGGTCGCCCTGCTGGCGGCGGCGACCGCGGCCACGCCCCCCTGCTCGGAGGTGGCCGGAGGTGAAGCGGGCCCGAGGTGCCCTCAGCTCTTCACGCCGCTCTGGAACTCCTCAGGCCCCCGGGGTGAGCGGGCGGGAAACGGTTCCGTATCCATGGCCTGGCGATCCGAACGCCTCGGCCGCGACCCCGTGGATACAGGGCGGTTCCGCGCGGATGTCCAGCGCGGCACGTATCCGTGGGATCGCGTACCCATGAGGTCGCGCCCAAGTGTTCAGATCGCGAGTTCATGGACATGGACGTGTGCTCCACTCGTGATGGACCTCGCGAGGGGCGCTCTGAAAGCCACCCGGGGATTCCTGAAGAGCTGACGCCACCTCCTGGCGCCGCGCCCCGGAGGGCGGCGCGAGAGGTGCGGCCTTAGGCCCTCTTGGAAGGCAGGGCGAGGGCTTCTTTTCAGGTAGACGGTGGGGGGTAATGGGGGGTGATCCAAGTGTGGGGTGAAGAGAAGGGCCGAAGAGGCCACTTGGGGCACCTTTTGGAGCCAGCAGGGGCTCAAAAAAGGAGCCCTCGCAGGGCCCTTAGGGGCCCTTGTCGCCGGCTTCTTAGACGGAAGCCCACCTGAGAAGCCACCAGGCCTTTGCCAGGACCCCGTCTTTTTTCGGAATGACCATCAAATAAACTATAACTGTTTTAATGAGCCATTCGCAGTTTCGCCGTATAGAAGCTTATACTGAGACATGCATGGCTTAATCTTTGAGACAAGCATACCCCCGCTCGCGCCACCCTCGGGCGCGCCGCCAGGCGTTGGGGGCGGGGCCACCTCTGGCAGCCCCCGGGACCTGCTCGGCCGCCACCCTCGTCACCGACAGCATGCCCGGCTCGGGCATCGGCGCGTCCCACGGCACCTTCCAGCCCGCGGGAGGCACGTTCTGCGCGAGCAGGGGCGCTCGTGCCCACACCTCCGAGGGGCGGGGGGGCGGGGGGGAACGCGGCGCACCTGGCAAAACAGGCAGCGGCAGGAAGCGTAGGGCCTGGATTGTCGTTTCGAAACAGCACGTGTGAGTGACCTTTACCCGATGCTTCTACGTAGGGCCACTTTGAGCTGAAGAGCTCCTGGAGGGCGAAAAACAGCTGCGCTTGACGCACAAAAAGCACCTCAGCATCAGTGATGGCTCGATTGTCTCTGGATCGGGGGCACGCGCCCACACCTCCGAGACCTGGGGAGTGGGACGCGGCGCGAGCAGAGAGGAGTCGAGAGGGGGATCGACTACAACATGGATTTCTCCAACATTGATTTGTTCGTCGAAACTACGAGCTTGCGTAGAATGATCCGTAGATCTACGAACATCAATTCTGGGGAATATCAATTCTGGGGTACATCGATTCTGGGGTACATCAATTCTGGGGTACATCGATTCTGCAGGATCGAATCGGAATTTGCCTGGGATCGGGTCGCGTGAAACACGGAGTCGGACTCGAAACCGGTCGGCCGCGCCAAGGGTGCACAGCGGCGCGGGGTGCACTTCCGAGGGAGGAGTAGGGCCGCGGCGCGCGCAGGGGGGCGATGAGAAGGGGTGGCCTCTTCGGAGGAACACGCATTCGACGCGGAGATCCGCACATGGGTCGCATGGGCGACGAACAAAAACTGATCTTACGCGAGATGACGTAAGAGCTTACGCGGTGGCTTACGCGGGCCGCAGGCGCGGCACTCTGCATTTGAGACGAGGGCGCTCACGCGCGACCTTGAGCGGGGAGCTGACGCGAGAATGTCGGCGAAGACGATCCGTTTTTTGTTGCGTCGCTCATATGAGCATCTGATGTTCTGGCGCTCCCTTCTGCGAGTGTCTGGATATGGGTGAGTCTCGAAGCCCTAGGCTGCGCACGCGAAAATCCGAGCGTGAGCGATCCTCCCTGCTCCTCTCTGTCACCAATTGCTGCTCTACTGTTTTCTGTATGCTGCTGTCTGCTGTGCTGGTGTCTCCTGCTCTCTGCTGCTGCCTGCTGGTGTCTGCCCTGCTGCTCTCTGCTGGTCCTCTGTGCTGCTCTCCGCTGCTCTGTGCTGTGTCTGCTGCTCCCTGCTAATTCCTGCTCGATGCCAGCTCTCTGCTAGTCTTTGCTGTTCTCTGCTGGTCTCAGCTGCGCTCCGCTTGAACGATCTGCCGCACCGTGCAATTTCTGCTGCCCGCTGCAAATCCCCGCTCTATGCCACCGGTGGCCTCTGCCGCCACGCTCTGCTGCTCTGTGTTGCTGTGTACTGTTTCTGCTGTTCCCTGCCAGTCTCTGCTCGATTCAACGCCCCACAAACGGGGACTCCACTAACGGGTACTTTGGCCAGTGACCCAGCGAACCCGACCCTTCCCGATGCGGGCAACGCTGCATTGCCAGAAAGAGGCCCTAGAGTGGCAACGTTCGGCAAAAGTGCAAAGTACCCGTTAGGAAGTACCCGTTACGGTGCCGTTGATCGATGGCTGTCTCGGGTCGGGCGAAAGGAGGGGATAGCAAAGGGGGGGTTTGAGAATCAGCTCCCGTAGCTGATTTTCCCGGCGCCTCCCGGCGCCGGAGGCGGCTATGTATCGAGGAATTGGCCCCTCGGTGAGGCCGAAACCAGCTGCATGCAGCAAATTTCGTAACCCCCCCTTTCCCAATCCCCCCCTTTTGCCCGACCCGACTGTCAACGGGGCGTTCCGCCGGAAGCATCTCAACATCGGGGCGCGAACAAGCCCGGGTAACACTCTGGGTCGGCTCCGCGGCTCCCCCATTGCATGGCCCAAGTGCTGCGACTGCTACATCACGGTGATCATATGGGCTCGGGAACGACACGCGTCCACAGCCACAGACGGGCGTTTCGTTCGAGACACTCCTCCTCCTCCTCCTCCTCCTCCTCCTCCTCCTCCTCCTCCTCCTCCTCCTCCTCCCACACTCTGGACGAATACGGGCCCGTGTGGGTGGCCCAACTGCTACGCCCGCTACATCACGGTGCTCGCAGGGCTCTGAAGAGAGACGCGTTCACAGCCACAGACGGGCGTTTCGCTCGACACACCCCTGCAATATGGACGCATGCGGGCCCGTGCAAGAACCCTAGTCGGCTCCCTCGCGGGTGGCCCAAGTGCTGCGCCTGCTACACCACGATGACCACAAGGCTCTGAAGAGAGATGCGCCCAGGGCAGTGGACGGGCGTATCGCTTGAAACACCCCCACTGTCAGGACGCGAAAGGGCCCGTGCAGTACCCCTGGCCGGCGCCCCATTGGGCGTCCCGACTGCTATGCCTTCAAAACCACGATGATCATAAGGCTCTGAGTGGAGATGCATCCAGGGCCGTAAAAAGAGCCGAAATCTGGACGCGGACGGGCCCGTGCAACATCCCTTGTGTGCGCCCTCTCGTGTGGCCTAAGCGCTATGCCTGCTGCATCGCGACGATGATAGGCTCTGAAGAGAGACGCGCCCAAGGCGCAGACGGGCGTTCCGCAATCTGGACGCAAAGGGAGCCGTGGAGCATCCCTGGTGGGCACCCTCTTGGGTGGCCCAAGTGCTACGCCTGCTACATCACGATGCTCATCAGTCTCGAAAGAGAGACGCGTCCAAGGCCGCAGGCGGGCGTCTCGCTCGAGTCACCATCACAGAATGGGCCCGAACGGGCCTGTGTAACACCTCTGGTCGGCTCCCCCTCCTGATGCCATGCCTGCTACGTCGTGGTGGCCATGAAGCGTCCGAGTATGGGTGCGCCTGGGCATGAGTGAACTGAGTATGTGAGACTGAGTGCGAATGAGTCTGAGTTTGAGTGGGTCTGTCTGTGTATGAGTGAGTCTGTGTGTGGATGGGTTGGATAAGTTATGCCTAAGTTGCGTTGAGTGTATCTGGATATGAGTGATCTGTGTGCGCGAGTGAGTCCGAGTTTAAGTGGATCTGACAATGAGTGAGTCAGAACAGAGGGAGTCTGAGTGTGAACGGTCGGAAGTAACTAGCGGCTGAGTGTGAATGGTCGACAGTGTGAGCGGCTGAGTGCGTGCATGTCTGAATGTGACCAAACTGAAAACGAGCAGACCTGAGTACGACTAAGCTGGGGTGAGAATTGAGTGCGCGAGGGAGGCGGGTGCGAGGGGAGGAGGTGCCACGTGCATGACGACCCCCTCACCCTCGAGCCCCCCCCTCCGGCCACCCGCCCAAGCCTTTGATCGAAGCGAGGAGTGTCGCTGCCAAGAGCCCTCCTTGGCCCTCCGGCGGCATCTGGAGGAGCGCCACGGCACAGCGGACTCACGTGCGGACCTCGGCGGCGACGATAGGGGCGAACAGCCCAGGGGCGGGCATAACACCTACCTATACGACCACCCTTCGGGTGATAAGGAGGTTGTGGGGGGGAGAGGGGGGAACCAACATCTGACTCAATCGATCTCACTATCGATCTCACTCAGCAGAACACCACGTGACACCACGTGACACCACGGGACACCACGGGACACTTGTCGATCTCACTATCGATCTCACGCAACGGGACATCACGGGACACCACGGGCCACCATGGGACACCACGGGACACCGCGGAACATCTCTCGATCTCACTATCGGTCTCACTATCGATCTCCCTATCGATCTCACTCAAAGTGGCACCACTGGACACCACGGGACACCTGTCGATCTCAGTATCGATCTCACTATCGATCTCACTAATTGGGACACCACGGGACACCTCGGGCACCACACCGATCTCAGCATCGATCTCACTATCGATCTCACTATCGATCTCACTCAACGGGGCACCACGGGACACCACGGGACACCTGTCGATCTCACTATCGATCTCACTTTTTTGGGACACCACGGGGCACCACATCGATCTCAGTATCGATCTCAGTATCGATCTCAGTATCGATCTCACTCAACGGGACACCACGGGACACCACGAGACACAGCGGGACACCGGCGGGACACCGCGCGGCAACTGCCGCAGGAGGAGAAACATTTGGTCCGGCCGCGGCCCATCCACAGGAGGATTTCGGGACACCTGCGGGACACCGGCGGGACACCGCGCGGCACCGGCCGCCGGAGGAGTTAGATTTGGTCCAGCCGCGGCCCAGCCACAGGAGGATTTCCTCTCGCCCGCCCACGCAACTTCGCCTCGCCCGCACGCACGCACGGCATAAACGACACGAACCAGAAACCGAAATCGATTTCCCGGTAGGGAGGGTCTCCGTTTCACGTCGGACTCACCCCCCAACCTCCGATTCGCCTGGGGGGAGCCTCGCCGAAGGCATGGACCATCAACTAGCCCGTGGATATATGTACAGTAGGGGCCCTTCCACAAGAAACCTTCCACAAGAAACCTTCCACAAGAAACCCAACCCTGAAACCCCAGGACGCCTACCGATGTTTGGTGTGGGAACGTCACGCTCTCCATGGCAAAACCACCGAAACCCAAGAAACCCAGGACACCCTGGAAGCCAGCAGGGTGTTCCTTGGCATGGGCCCCCACTGTACGTGTGTTGCTCTCACCTGGGCTACTCGCGCCCCCCGTCGCCCCCGAGGACCCTTCGCACCCTGCCGCGCCCCGGCGCTCCGCTCCGCTCCGGGTCTCCGCGGCGGGCCGCCGCGCCTCCCGCCTCACAACCGATGGGCCGAGGGCGCGCACTGGGGCTGGCAGGCTGCGGCCTCCTCGCCATCGCTCGGACGTCCACCCCCCCTGCCTGTGTCGGTTCGTGCGCGTGCTTGTCGCAAGATGGCCCACGATGCCCGTCGATGATCCTCGCCGCAAAAAAAAGCACACGCCCGAGCGGTGCCAAGCCTCTGGGAGGAACGATCCGGCGGCGACGAGCTCGCGGGCAGAGGGGGCCCAGGCGGGGAGGAAAGGGCGGGACAGGGCGAGAGCGACCAGCACAGGCCCGCCCGAAAGCGAGCAACCGACACCCCACAGCGCCCCCCCCCCGGGGAAGGCGCACGCGCACCGCCCACCCGCATGGCCGCAGCGGCTCGGATCCGGGAAGGCCGCGTGGTGGAGGGTGGCAGGCACTTGCGGGCCAGCTCCCCAGGCCCTGGTGGATCCCTTGGCGCCTCCCTCTCCTCCTCACCCGCCTCCTCGCTCCCGCCTCTCTTCCCCCTCTCCCCATCTCGCCCTCCTTCGCCCCTCTTCATCCACTTCTGCCTGTGCCTCTCTCTCCCGCCCTTCCATGCTTCTCCCTCCTCCTCACCATCTAACTGTCTCTCTCTCTCTTTCTCGCTTTCCTCCGTTCTCTCCCTCTCTTTCTCTCCCTCCCTTCCTTCCTCCATCCCTCTCCCTCTCCCTCTCCCCCTTCGCTATCACTATATGTTTGTTTGTTTGTTTCTCTCTCTCTCTCTCTCTAAATATATCCCGGTCTCGTTTTCTGTCCCTCGTTCTTCTTTGTTGCCGTGTTATTGTTCTCTCGGTCTCTCTCTCTCTCTCTCTCACTCTCCCTCACCTTTCCCTCTTTTCTTGTTTTTGTTGTTGTTGATGATGTGTGTTGCTGCCCTTCCCTCTCCGACGACGACGACGACGGTCGTTCTTCCCTCTCCGACGACGACGACGACGACGGTCGTGATCTGGGCACGCGGGCCGCGCGTGGGCACCAGCGTTCCGCCCACGGAGTCCCCGAACCACCAGCCGGAGAGCTCGAGCCCATCGCGGGTGTCCCAGAAGTAAATGAAGACCTTCGGACCGCTCAACAAGAAGCACAATTACGCTACCGAGGAACCCCACATACTCAATTTAAATATTATGTGCTTGCTTAAGTTTATAATATATGCGCAATTCTGCGTTCTCAGCCCTCGTCGCGAATGTTCCCCTCTGTGTCATCCAACGCCGTATTGCTTGAACCTCCTCCCTCTTCCTAGCCTTCTATCCTCCATCAAGGACAGATTCGAGCCAGCCAGCGGCCGCGCTCAGGGACCACCCCCTGCGCACCCCCTATGGTGTCTAGAAAGTGCCACGCCTGCTATGCCTGGACGACTGGCACGGATAGCGGCCGCGCTCAGGGACCACCCCCTGCGCACCCCCTATGGTGTCTAGAAAGTGCCACGCCTGCTATGCCTGGACGACTGGCACGGATAGCGGCCGCGCTCAGGGACCACCCCCTGTGCACCCCCTATGGTGTCGAGAAAGTGCCACGCCTGCTATGCCTGGACGACTGGCACGGATAGGGGCCGCGCTCGGGGGCCACCCCCTGCGCACCCCCTATGGTGTCGAGAAAGTGCCACGCCTGCTATGCCTGGACGACTGGCACGGATAGCGGCCGCGCTCAGGGACCACCCCCTGCGCACCCCCTATGGTGTCGAGAAAGTGCCACGCCTGCTATGCCTGGACGACTGGCACGGATAGCGGCCGCGCTCAGGGACCACCCCCTGCGCACCCCCTATGGTGTCGAGAAAGTGCCACGCCTGCTATGCCTGGACGACTGGCACGGATAGCGGCCGCGCTCAGGGACCACCCCCTGCGCACCCCCTATGGTGTCGAGAAAGTGCCACGCCTGCTATGCCTGGACGACTGGCACGGATAGCGGCCGCGCTCAGGGACCACCCCCTGCGCACCCCCTATGGTGTCTAGAAAGTGCCACGCCTGCTATGCCTGGACGACTGGCACGGATAGCGGCCGCGCTCAGGGACCACCCCCTGTGCACCCCCTATGGTGTCTAGAAAGTGCCACGCCTGCTATGCCTGGACGACTGGCACGGATAGCGGCCGCGCTCAGGGACCACCCCCTGCGCACCCCCTGTGGTGTCGAGAAAGTGCCACGCCTGCTATGCCTGGACGACTGGCACGGATAGCGGCCGCGCTCAGGGACCACCCCCTGCGCACCCCCTATGGTGTCGAGAAAGGCCACGCCTGCTGCCTGGATAGCGGCCGCGCTCAGGGACTGCGCACCCCCTTTGGTGTCGAGAATACGCCTGGCCGCGCTCAGGGACCACCCCCTGCGCACCCCTATGGTGTCGAGAAAGTGCCACGCCTGCTATGCTGGACGACTGGCACGGATAGCGGCCGCGCTCAGGGACCACCCCCTGCGCACCCCCTGTGGTGTCTAGAAAGTGCCACGCCTGCTAGGCGGCGCCGTGGATAGCGGCCGAGCTGAGAGACCACCCCCTGCCCACCCCCTGTGGTGTCGAGAAAGTGCACGGATAGCGGCCGCGCTCAGGGGCCACCCCCTGCGCACCCCCTGTGGTGTCCGGAGAAAGTTGCCCACGCCTGCTAGCCTGGACGACTGTCCGGACAGCGGCCGCGCCTCTGGCCAACCCCCTTCGCACCCCCTATGGTGTCCTGAGAAATTGCCACGCCTGCAAATGCTGGGAACGACTGGCATCGGAATACAGGCCGCGCTCAGTGGACCACCCCCTGCGCACTCCCTGTGGGCGTCCGAGAAGTACACGCCTGCTATTGCCTGGACGACTGGCACGGATAGCCGCCCGCGCTCAGGGACAACCGCCCTGCGCACCCCCTGTGGTGTCGAGAAAGTGCCACGCCTGCTATGCTGGACGCTGGCACGGATAGCGGCCGCGCTCAGGGACCCCCCCTTGCGCACCCCTGTGTATTGGGGAGAAAGTTCCCGCATGTTATGCTGGACGACCGTCACGGTAATCGGCCGCGCTCAGGGACCACCCCCTGCGCACCCCCTACGGTGTCGAGAAAGTGCCACGTCCTGCTATGCCTGGACGACTGGCACGGATAGCGGCCGCGCTCAGGGACCACCCCCTGCGCACCCCCTATGGTGTCGAGAAAGTGCCACGCTTGCTGTGCCTGGACGACTGGCACGGATAGCGGCCGCGCTCAGGGACCACCCCCTGCGCACCCCCTATGGCGTCGGGAAAATGCAACGCCTGCTATGCCTGGGCGACTGGCGCGGATAGCGGCCGCGCTCAGGGACCACCCCCTGCGCACCCCCTATGGTGCCGAGAAAGTGCCACACCTGTTATGCCTGGACGACTGGCACGGATAGCGGCCGCGCTCAGGGACCACCCCCTGCGCACCCCCTATGGTGTCGAGAAAGTGCCACGCCTGCTATGCCTGGGCGACTGGCACGGATAGCGGCCGCGCTCAGGGACCATCCCCTGCGCACCCCCTATGGTGTCTAGAAGCTCCCAGCCTGCTATGCCTGGACGAACTGGCACGGATAGGCGGCACGGCGCTCAGGGACCCACCCCTGCGCACCCCCTGTGGTGTCGAGAAAGTGCCACGCCTGCTAGGCTTTGCGCCAGTGTCGTGGATGGCGGCCGAGCTGAGAGACCACCCCCTGCGCACCCCCTGTGGTGTCGAGAAAGTGCGGCGCGGCAGGGAAGAAAACCATAACCCCACGAAGCATGTGGGGAACAACACAGGGTTTCGCAACACTGATTTGCTATACAGCTTCCGCGAAAGCTCTTGCGAAATCTTAAGAAAACCATAGGTTGTTTCAAGATTTTCACAACATCATATTAAACGGGCTTCGCGCGCGCATGTCGAAATTTTTCGAACGCCCTTGCGCGTGTGCCGTCGCGAGAATCCTTTGCAAAAAAACGGGGCGAAGTGCAGACGCGCGCAGGCGCGCGCGTCGTCGCGCGCAGACGCGCGCGTCGTCGCGCGCGTATGCCCGAAACCTTCAAAACCCATTGGTTTCGGAAGGATTTCAAACTCGTGTGCCCAAACAACCTACGAAATCACATGATTTCGCAACACGGATTTTCATCAAAAGCGTGCGCGCGCGCTCTTGCGTCGTCGTCGTCGTCGTCGCCGTCCTCTCTCCTCCCGCGTCGTTGTCGTCGTCGTCGTCGTCGCCTACGACGTCCTCTGTCTTTCCTCGTGTTCGTCGGTGACGCTAGGGGGCCACATGTGGTCGTTGCCGTCGTCGTGTCGCCGTGGTTCGTCCGTCCTCTCCTCCCTCCGTCGTCGCGTTCGTCCGTCGTCGGCCGTCTCGTCGTGCCCTCTTTTATTTCGTCCCGTCGTCGTCGTAGTGCGTTGTCGTCGTCATCTTTCTCCCTCCTCCCTCATCTGTTGTCCGTGTGAATCGACGGGAACGCCCTCCTTTTCGTCGTTCGCGTCGTCGCCGTCCTCCCTCCTTCCCTCGTCGTTGTCGTCTTGTCGTCGTTGTCGCCGTCGTCGTCTCTCGTCGTCGTATTCGTTTTGGCGTCGTCGTCGTCGCGTCTTCGTCGTCGTCGGCCCGTCGGCGTCGTTGTCGTCGTCGAAGTCGTCGGAGACGTCGTCGGTGTCGTCGTCGTCGTTGTCGTCGGTGTCGTCGTAGTCGGTCTTAGGAGGTTTTGCAAACCAAGTTGCGGGTGGGTGTGTGGGATGTTTGCGCGAGCAGTGGAGATGACGACTTCAAGTTCAGCAGAGTGGGTTCTCCTCTCCAGAAAGAGAATAGACTCTACCCCCCCCCGGACTTATTGGTTCCCCCTGGGATAGTATGATTTCATACATATATATATATATATATATATATTCTGCACACTCGTCCATCCTAAAGATGAAATCGTACCATCCCAGCCAGGCCGGGTTCCCCCCCTGAGGTTCCCTTGTAAAAAAAAAACTATGCGGTGACATGTTTTGGTTAACATGGCACTTTTCCACGAATCCCTTGCAACAAATGAGACGAAGTGCACACGCGCGCGTCGTCGCGCGCGTATGCCGAAATGCTTCAAAAACCTTCGGTGCGGGAAGGATTTCGCAATCGAGTTAAACAAAAAAAAAAATGCAAAAACATTTGGGGTTCGCAACACAGAGTTGCTAAAAAAGCTTCCGCGACAGCTCTTGCGAAATCTTAAGAAAACCATAGGTTTTTCAAGATGTTCACAAAATGCTACCAAACGGGCGTCGCGCGCGCTCATTGTCGAAAATCTGTCGAACGCCCTGCGCGTGTTGCCGTCGCGAGAATCCTGCACCCAAAACCAAAATGGGGACGAAGTGCAGACGCGCGCGTCGTCGCGCGCGTACGCCGAGGAAGAAAAAAACTTCAGGCCCACATTGGTTTGGAAGGATTTCAAAATCGTGTTGTCCAAAAAACATACAAACACACAGGTTTCGCAACACGGAGTTTCAACAAGGCGTGCGCGGCTGCTCTTGCGTCGTCGTCGCGTCGTCGTCGTCGCGTGGTCCTCTCTTTTTTTTTTTTTTTTTTTTTTTTTTTTTTTTTTTTCCTTCCCGCTGTCGTTTGTCGTCGTCGTCGTCGCCTACGTCGTCCTCTGTTTTTCCTCGTGTTCGTCGTCGTCGTCCTCTTTGGCGTCGTGGTCGTTTCCGTCGTCGTTGTCGCCGTGGTCGTCCTTCCTCCTCCTCCCTCGTCGTCGTCGTCGTCCGTCGTCGGCGTCTCGTCGTCGTCCCTTCTATTTCGTCGTCGTCGTCGTCGTCGTCTTCCCTCCTCCCTCGTCGTTGTCGTCGTCGGCGTCGCCGTCCTTCCTCCTTCTTCATCGTTCGCGTCGTCGCCGTCCTTCCTCCTCCGTCGTCGTTGCCGTCGTTGTCGCCGTCGTCGTCCGCCCTCCTTCCCCGTTGTCTTCGTTGGCGACGTCGTCGTCGTCTTCGTCGCCGTCGTCGGCGTCCGTGTCGTTGTCGTCTTCGTCGTCGTCGACGTCGGCGTCGTCGCCGCCGCCGTCGTCGTCGTCGTCGTCGTCGTCGTCGGCGTCGTTGACGTCGTCGTCGTCGTCGGTGTCGTCGTTATCGTCGTCGTCGGCGTCGTCATCGTCGTCGTCTTTGTCATCGTCG